CAAACACATCCTCAAAGTCAATTCCATGTCTTTGTACGTATCCCTTTGCAACGAGCCTGGCCTTGTGTTTGCTTATGCTACCATCAGAATTCCTTTTGAGCTTGAAGACCCACTTTAAGCCTATCGGTTTTGCTTCTTGTGGTGGTGTCACAAGATCCCAAGTGTGATTCTTTTCTATTGAGTGAATCTCATCTTTACACGCATCCATCCACTCTTTCGACTCCTTTGCATCGGAAAAGCTCCATGGTTCCTCATTCAAACATATTAACAATCGTTCTCCTTCTTCTTCACTTAGCAGTACATAGTCTTGGAGATACTTAGGTCTTGTGACTACTCTCCCCGATTTAGTCACCACTCTTCCCGTAGCAGTTTGAGCTGTTTGCTCATTAGCATCAATGTTTTCATCTTCCTCCGATGATTCTCCATTGTTCTCTTCACCTGCAGACACGATTTCCTCTGTTCCGGTGACGACATTATCTCCAACTTCTCCTCGTTGCTCTGTTTCTTCACTGTGCTCTGTTTCGAAGATACCATGATTTCCAAAAACTCCAAACTCAATTCTGAGATTTTCGACAGCATCATTCTCTGTAGTAATTTTATTCTAGTTCCAGCCTGTTGTTTCATCAAAAACAACATCACGACTTACCACCGCCCTTCTATTCCTCGGGTCATACAAGCGATATGCCTTTGAACCAGGCTCCGTGCCTAGGTGAACTAAAACACGAGACCTGTCGTCTAACTTCTTCAAGTGTGGCATCTCTGTTTTAGCATATCCAATGCACCCGAAGACTCTAAGGTGATTAACATTTGGAACTTTTCCTCGTAACATCTCATATGGAGTTTTATCCTTAAGTGACCTTGTAGCTATACGGTTTAAGAGATATGTTGAGTGCCTCACTGCTTCTCCCCAAAGCCAGTTTGGAACTTTCATATGCTTTAAAATGCTTCGAGTCATTTCCATAAGAGTCCTGTTGCGTCTTTCAACAACTCAGTTTTGTTGGGGAGTGTATGGAGCTGTAAGATGCCTTCTTATTCCTGATTCTAGGCAAAAATCATTAAACTCTTTGGACACAAACTCACCTCCTCTGTCAGTCCTAAAGGTTTGAATCTTTTCCCCTGTTTCTTGTTCAACTATGGACTTGAATTTCTTGAATTTTCCAAAAGTCTCACTCTTCTCTTTCAGTAACACAGTCCACATATATCTAGAATAGTCATCAATGAGCACGAAAACAAATTTATTTCCAGCCGCAGTGTTTGGTGTAATCGGTCCGCAGAGATCTCCGTGGATCAACTCAAGTGCTTTGGTAGCTCGGTACATTGTAGCTTGTGGAAATACTTGTCTTGTTTGCTTTCCAAGCAAACATGAGCCACAAATTTTCTTCTCAAAGTTAACGTGTGAAATCCCAGTTACAAGTTCTCTCCTTACCATTGTTTTCATTGTTTCAAGATTGACATGCCCTAGCCTTGCATGCCATCTCTCAGAATCTATTTGAGTTCTTGAATGGAGACACATTGTATCTTTGATCCCCATATCCACTTTATAAAGACGATTTCTTGATCTTACTGCCTTGACAAGTAACTTCCCCTCGCTATCGTGCATTGTTAGCTTTTCCCCTTTCAATCTCACATCACAACCAGATTCGGTAGCCTGTCCTAGGCTGATAATGTTACTCTTTAGTCCAGGAATGAAATAAACATCAACCATCTTTCTTAGCTCACCGTTTCTGTCTATGAATTCTATGGATCCTTTCCCCTTAATATCTATCCGGGAGTCATCGCCAAACCTAACTTTCCCGGTGATGGTTGAATCTAAGCTTGTGAAATATCGCCTATCTCCGGTCATATGGTTACTAGCGCCGTTGTCAAGGTACCACACATTCTCCCCCCCTGAATTTGTTTCGTATTTGTTTGGTACAATTTTTTCTTCGTTTAAATACACTACCTCGTGTATCATGAGTTCATCTGCCTCTGTTGTGCTCTTGTTGTCTTGCTCTTGAACTTCTTGAAGCTTTAAAAGACGATCCGGACAACTGCTTGCAAAGTGACCAGTTTTGTCACACCGGTAGCAAACAACACTTGAAGTGTCTCTTCCTCCACCAAAACGTCCTCTGCCTCTTCCTCTATAGAAGCGTCCTCCACGACCTCTGCCTCTATACTCACCATTAGATTCTTTGTTGTATTGAGATTCCGTGTTTGAATACATCAGCTTGCTTTGATCCTCTTGATCTTCTTCTTCATCACACACACGGTCTTCATAGGTTTTCAATCGGCCTACGATGTCTTCAAAACTTGTGGTTTTGAGATCCAAAACTTGTTCAAGTGCAGCAACAATATGAATATACTTCTTCCTAGGGAGACTTTTAAGGAACTTCTTGACAAGTTTAGGTCCTTCAATCTCTTCTCCTAAAGCCGACGATTTCGAAGCGATTTCTGATAACTTGTCGGCGAAGTCATCGATTTTCTCCGTATCCTTCATCTTCAAACGATCGAAATCAGCCATCAACGTTTGTAACCTTGCTTCCTTAACCCTCTCAGCACCTACATGTCTCGTTCTTATGGCATCCCATACCTTCTTTGCAGTGTTATTTTCTCCTATCTGCAAGGTAAGGGTCTCAGGAATAGATTGAAACATTAAAGCCATGGCCATCACGTTTTTCTCTTCATCGTTTGATGGTGTTTCAATCACTTCCCAGACCTTGTGTACCCTGAGTAGAAGTTTCATTCTCATTGCCCAAACGGTGTAGTTGGTCATGTTAAGCATAGGGCACTTTATCGTCGACGAGCCTCCTCCTTCACTTATCTTGGCCACCTCCGCTTGTGCTCTTTCCGTGATCTCTCCCATGATCGCAAAGAGCTCTGATACCAAATATTGAATACGATATTTGATGATCAAACTCTTACGATTAACAAAAGAAAGTGTTTAACTCACAAACTCAATAGCCTTTATTAGTTTAAGAAAATCTCTCAAAACTTAAACTCTCTCACAAATTAGGTCATGACTCAACCTCTCTATTTATACAAGTCTCTCAAATCCTAATCTCACTAGGATTACATATATATTAGATAACTCCTAATATATTTGACTTTATCTTCTCTAAACCATAACTCGGTTTAGTTGCTTCCGGTTCAAGTAATCTTCAAGCTTAACCAACAGAATTTAGGATCTTTCATTGGATTTACTACGTTTGTTTTTCATAGGGTTTTGTGCAAAAAAACCCTCCAACTCACTCATTTTTGTAACTTTACCCTCCATCTCCGAAAAATGCAGATTAATACTACGAAGTCCTAAATAATACGCAATGTAACCCTTATTCGTTACTGTCAAGTTCGTAAAAGTTTGACAAAATAATATATCAAATCGAAGCCCTCGCGATGAAGAGTTCAACTCTACTTTTAGAATTTTAAAAAACCAATGTATGTGACCGAAAAAACATTTACAATATACGTATAAGGGTTATATTGCACATTATGTTGGACTTCGTATGATTAATCTGCATTTTTCGGAGATGGAAGGTAAAGTTGCAAAAATGGACGAGTTGGAGGGTTTTTTTGCACAAAACCCTTTTTTCATATCTCTGTTTTGTTCCTCTTTTGAGTTTGATTTATAAAAACGTTTTGAGCATTAGAGATGAGAATGACATACACAACTAATGCTTATTTTTTTATCGAGGTATCCACACCATTACATGTTACAAACTTACAGAGAAAGTTTTTTTTTTTTTTTTTTGAGAAAATATCTTCTATTAAATAGCATGAGAAAGAAAATGGTACAAAGCCATAAAGCCTAGTAGGCTAAAAAGCCCAACATATTACAAAATAAGAACCAAATTGAACCCTTGGCCCAGAATTTTGTTATAGTAACAATTAAAAGCCCAAGACAGCCCACTAATGACTTGCTATCGACTCCATCTGAATCTTGGTGTGGGACTGTGGGCAGCGTAAAAATTGAGATCTGTTTCAGTGATCTGAATACGAGCAATCCATCAAGCTCAATCTCTGTTTCTGAAGATGGGAATGACGATTCTGGTAGTTGCAGTGAATCTTTGTCAACAAATCCATCACAACAGACCAAGAAGGAGAAGGAGATGGCAGCATTGGAGAGGGTTGCAAGTGTTAGTAGTTATGGAAGATTTTCTTGAAATGGAGAAGTTAGCTTGTTTGCCAAATCAATCTAGCAGTAATGGTAGTATGGATTCCAAAGATTGTTCAGCTGATCAAAAGTCAGAAATGGTGATTCTTGACGCTCATACCAAACAAAGTCCGGGAACAAAATCTGGTTGAAGATTGTCATTTGGCTGAACAAAAGCTGCAGAGCATTCACCAAGATTTAAAAAATGCTGTTTCTCGGATTCATGACTTTCTTTTATTGCTAAGAAATGAGGTAAGTACAGGTCAGGACCCAGCTATTGAGGGAAATGATTTTGCTGAATCGATTGAGGGATTCTCCGTCACATTCAACCATGTTTTAAGAGGCGATAAAGATTTGGACGATTTTGTTTCGAATATTGCTAATGTGTTCAACGAGGCCATGGAGCTAAAGGTTTATTTTTGGGGTCTTTCTTCATCCGAGGTGGAAATTTTGAGTCCAGATTGTATAGACAAGGTTGCATTACCCGAGAGCAAGGTTGTTGATAAAGATTCATCTCAAGAAATATATCAAAACGGATGTGTCTACAATGAGCCAGGGGTTCCATGCGATGAAAACAGAGTTTTGAGGTTATGAATCTCCAAAATGCCCTCCTGATTCAGAGACTAGCGATACGATGTCATCACGAGTGGGTTCAAGGCTCTCAAGGCCAGGTTCATCATCTACCAACGCGACTCCGGAGAAAGCCTCTAGAGGAATCAGCAGGTTCTTGTGTGTATGATGAAATGTGATCAAAATACGTTGGAGAATTCCTTCGTTTAGGATCTTTTGTCAGTTACATGCTTATCAAACGACGTGTGCATCCTAATGTTGATGTTTTTTTTTACTAAACTAGTTAAGCAAGAATGTAACATTCACTCAACAATAATATTTATATTATTCACCAACAATGTGGAAAGTGGGAAACATATTAAAGTATTAAACCTATAAACTAACTTTTTATTGTGAGTCTTTGGCTTACTGATAGTTCAAAAGATGATATTTTATTACACCTGAAATACAACAAATTATTTATGAACATAACAACAATGCGTTTAGGAAGGGAGAATGGTCGATGAGTGACTTAACGAGTTCTCGTGTTCTGTTGCTTGCTTCGGCCGAAAGTCTTCATGAACCATTGATGCTTGTATGATGCCACTATGTATCCCATCGCTAGTCCAAATACAATTCCAGGTGCAAAGCCTAAACCTGCTGCTATCCAACTCAATGTTTCTTCTTCTTCTTCTGTCTCCAGAGGTTCGGGTTGTGGTGGTGTTGGCGCTTTGATATGTCCACAAACATTCTCAAGGGAAGGACCATTAAGTCCGGGGTTTCCTTCATAGGAGGAGCATTTTTGCGCTGAAATTGTGTGCCTTGTGGTATGGAACCTACAAGCTGGTTATGTGAAACGTTTATCCACGCCAGAGAAGAGAGGGTCCCAAGCTCAGGAGGAATCTCACCAGAAATATTGTTTTGGGATATGTCGAGTGACTCGAGATTCGTCAGGTTTGCTAAAGAAGATGGGATGTGGCCTGTGAAAGCATTGCTTGACAAGTTTAGAATTCGAAGCTCCTTCAGCAGACCAATAGAATCAGGAATCTTTCCATGTAGCTGATTTGCTGAAAAATCGATGGCCGTGTAGATCGTAAGAATACGTTCCATCTCCATTGATACTCCTTTACTCATCAAAAAAAGTGAAGTGTAGTAGCTAAGTGAGGAGCCATATAAATTAGGATTCCGAATGTACTCTGGTTCTATATTATCATCTTTCTTGGAGGATCTCATAGCCCAGTTTTTGAAGTAGTCAGATGGCAAGGTACCGAAGAATTCATTATGTGATACATCAATGATTTGCAACTGAGGAAATCCAAACCAAACCCCGTCAACGTTATGTAATGTGCCATGAAACTTGTTAGAGCGGAGGACAAGAACTTGAAGCTTCTGCAAAGAATTCAACTGGAAGGGAAACATGTCGTTGATTATATTGCTTCCAACATTTAGAACTTCCAGAGCAGAGCAACCAGTAAGAGAAGCAGGAAGCTTTCCCTCCAGTTGGTTGTGGCTAACATCAAGTGAACTTAACTTTGTCGCGTTAATAAATATTTCGGGAAGAATTCCGCTGAGGCTGTTGTTACGGAGATCTAGATCTGAAAGAGAAATCATCAGAGTTTCGAAACACCAAGGAATTGAACCATGGAGGTTGTTGTTTGATAGATCTAGGATCTCTAGAGAGCTTAGTCCACATATTGATCGAGGTATCTCTCCAGTGAAGTTATTCTTAGAACCAGAAAAATATTTGAGAGACTTGGATGGGATGAAGAGTGGTCCTTGAAAATTATTTGAGCTTAGGTCTAAACTCGTGAGTTGACTCTTGTGAGATGCATTAACGGATCCATGGAAACCGCTGAGCGAGTTGTTAGAAAGATCCACACTATTCAACTTTGGCATTCTCCACAACCAGTTTGGTACTTGACCTTTGATTTTGTTGTTGGAAAGGTCTAGAATCTGTAGATTTCTCCCCTTTCTTATGAAATCAGGGAAATCAGTGATGTTGCAGCCTCTCAAGCTCAAATATTCCAAACTTGATGGAAAATCTGAATTAGAAGTGATGTTTGTTGTTGAAAAGGGGATGCCTGAGATATATAATGTGCCTAGCTGCTTAAGAGGCGAGAAGACATTTAAGTCAACTGGACGGACTTTGGTGTAATTGTAATGGTAAATATAAAAGGTTTCTAAATTAGGTAACATAAAGATATTCTCAATCCCAACAAGGTCGTTGAGTTGGTTATAACTCAAATAGATCCTAGTCAATGAGGGAATCTTGAGTAGGGATGAAAGAATGGCTCCTATAAAAGGATTATCATCAGCAAAAAAGAACTCTAATTTGGAGAGTTGGCTAATACTAGGTGGAAGGGAACCTGTGAACTGGTTGGAAGAGATAGAGAGTGCATTTAGTTTGGTCAAATTGCTAAGTGTAGCTGGCAAGTTTCCACTAAGCTTGTTACCATCAACATAAAAATTTGTCAATTGGTTTAGATTGCCAATTGAAGATGGGACTTCACCAACAAGATTATTAGAAGAAAGACTGAGATAGGAGAGATGAGAAAGGTTCCCAAGTGAAAACGGAATCTTCCCAGAGAACTTGGAAACAGAAAGGGTTAAAGAAGTCAAATTTTTGAGCTTGCTAATGGAATCAGGTATGGCACCTGAAAAGGCTGTGTAGAAAATGGTCAACTCTAGCAAAGAGTTATTTTCACGAAAAACGGGAAGATTGCCTCTTAGATTAGGATTGTTCCCCAAGTCAATAGACTGTAAGTTGGGAATCAAAAGAACACTGCTTGGAAATTCTCCAAACAGGTTGCAGCCGTTAAGATTTAGAGATCTTAGAGACTGCATGTTTGAAAACTCGTGGGGGATTTCTGAAGAAAATTTTACGTAGCTCAAATCCAGTTCTCTAAGGTTCCTCAAGTTTCGAGCAAGTAGACGAAGAAAAGATTCATCAATGGATAAAGAATAAGAAGATTTGTCATCAATGGAAAAATCACTAGAAGAAAGATCAAGAGACACCAACTTGGTTAACCAAAGAAGGTTTATTGGAATTTGGCCTGAAAGTGAAGACCGAGAGAGGTCAAGTCTTTCTAGCCTTATGAGTTTATCAAACTCAGCTGGTATTGGCGAATTGTTGAAATTGTTGTTAGCCAGGTTTAGATCACGGAGATGATGCAGTTTAAAAAGACTACTGTTGGATTTAAGCTGGCCATAGAGGAAGATGGAACTAAGGTCTAGCCCGATCACTTTTCCCGACTTAGCATCACATGTGATACCATCCCAAGAACAACAATCACTTTTGTTCACCCATGATTTTGAATCAACCATCTCAAACTCAGTCTTGAACTCAAGAAGAGCATCTTTTTGGTCGGGATAACACAAGTGTTGCGTAGCAGAAACAAACGTGATTAGGAAACTTGGAATGAGGATAAGGAAACAGATGGAACGAAAAAGGAAGCTCATTTTTTCACTAAATATTTGTGAAAAGAAAAAGTGTTCCGAGTAGTGATGGTAAATTAGTGTTTCGGGTCTTTTTAATGAAGTGGTTCCCTACTACATATATAACGTACGAAAACATAAAGTTTCATCAACTTTGATGAATTCAAGTCTTTTGATGAAAACATAAAGTTGTATTTAAAATTTTAGAAAAGGTCATTCTCAATGAGCTAAGGAAAATTGGAGTTTAGTGAGGACAAGTAAAATATAATCTAGCTAAGTGCCGTGTTTATCCATGAAATGCTTTCCAAGTCATCCTCTGGCCAATTCAAACCTAAAAAAACGTCAATATTGACCAAAATTTGTTTTGCTTCCCATTAAGTACATTATAAAATTATGAGCCAAGATTAAAATATAAAGACAAAAACTAAACAAAACTTGTAGACTTGGCGAGGTTGAAAATTCAATATTGACGCTGCGCGTTGGCTGATATCACAAAACGAATATTGACGCTACTACGTTACGTTCTATCTCTCACTGCCTCTTTTTCTCTCAACGAATCTTCTCTACATGTTCTCTCATTTCACAGAATAATTTGAATTGTGCTTCTGTTCCGACAATGCTTAGCCTATAACTATATTAGCCATGATTATCAACAAGAGATAAATATTAAACATATAACTATATTAATATATAGTGCCTTGTGATCGACCTAAACCACCCTTGGCAATAATCTTGAAGATCTGAATAATCAGATTTCATGGCAATGTAATGTAGTCTGGATCTGCTGCGTACGTACGGTTGATCTAATATTGTTGCTTGGGATCCAAGGAACCACCAAGATAGCAATATGGCCATTAAACCTGATATAATCGCCTCGATAAGTTGATGTTTGCTTCATTTCCGCGAGATCGTATTCTCTACTAGCTTTCCAGCTAGCTTTGAAATTAAATCTAGGTAGAGGAGATACAACTCCGATAACCAATTTTAAAATTTGAATCCTTTTTTTTTTTTTTTTTTTTGAACACCAAAATTTGAATCTTCTGTGTTTAATTTATTACATGATTCTGATGGCAGTTGCTACCAAAGTTGACTATCTAATTTTCGATTCAAAATTATCTCGCTTTTGTATCAGGCTAGTGAGGGTTTGAAGTCCAACTATTGTCCGAATCAGGTGGTTCGGAATTGATGCTTTGTTTCTGTTTAATCATGTAAATTGTAACCTATAACTCTATAAGTGTCAATGGTCAAAGCTTCATTATAGAAACAGATGTGTGCATTGTGCAGGTTAATTGCTGTCGATTACATTTGACATGCAAGAGCCATTAAGTATAATTATATATCTGATATTAGGGTACAAGCTTTTTCACATAATTGTGACACAAATAGGATTTAAAACAACTAAAATTTAACCGTACACCACATGACAAAAAATTTAATTCATTGTTTTCTATGTAATGATTTACTGTTTATTAGGTTTTAAATTTTTAATTCCGAAACAAAATTGTACTTTTTTAATATAAATAACATAGTTGAAGGTTATATTAGTTGTTGTATTTTTTTTTTGTTTTGATTAAAATATTTTCCTTTTAATTTCAACGTTATACAATTATTTATCATAGAATATATATATATTTATCATATGATGTGTTTTTATCATATTTTTAATCTCTAGTTTTTTGGTGTCAAAGTCGTTAATATGTTTTTAATATATTAATTAGTCCACTTATATCATAATTGAATATGTATATGTGTATTATAGTTCATAGTCATATGGTCAATTTATGTATCATAATACAAAAATTGATTATATACCAGATTACAAATTTCACTAGTTCGTGGATCTTTAATTCTTTATGATTGAGTGCTATTTTTTTTTTTTTGTGTCAACAACTATATTAGATTGGCTCAATTAAACCAATGCTGGGGAAAATTGTTTACATAGGTGATAAGATGCGGCGGGGTACGAACAGTTCGTGCCAGTTTATCCGCTTTCATATTAGCATTTCGAGTAATTAAAGATAATGAAAAAGATTCAAACTCATCTTTATCACTCCGAATCTCCTCTAGGTATGTTGCGAATGCTGGCCACTCTTACGGGGAAGACACCATCTTCACCAGGTCGGAACAGTCTATAAGGATGACTAAGTGCTATTCTTAAAAACAATTCTTAAGTTCTTTCTTTATCATTTTTGATTAATCTTTTTTTTTTTTTTTTTTTTTTTGAACACCAATTTTTTTTTTTTTTTGATTAATCTTTTAGACTAATTAATGGTTTAGTATGCTAAATAACAGAGGAAAACATAAGATCATTTTCAAGAACTCGTTATATACTCCTCCGTCATAAACATGTACCTGTTTATTTCCATCATTGATCTTAGCAACGCTCTCGTGTATATACAAAAAGATGAAACTCATATAAACTGACAAATACCTTCCTAGTTCCTACTATATTCAAAGGAACTTAAAACCATGTGGGAAAGGAACAATGGATACTTTCTACTTCTGACTGCCAAAAACGCAAGAACATATTACATCCCCAACATATGCATTTAAGAAAAGTGGTTATTCAGACTGAAAAATATTGAAATCATGACTTCTTTCTTGAATATGTGATCGTTTATTCTAATGCAGTAAGTTCTATGACAAAGTTATTGCACTAATAGATTTTGTTATCTTGTTGCTCTGCATTTCTCTGTTTCAAGTGTTTATTCTAATAAGTGTTTTGTGAAAGTTCTCAAGAGTCTTGAGAGAATGGAGATATGAAACTAGTACATTTTTTTAATAAATTTTACAAAACATAACACATACAAACTTATAGAGAGAGTAAGCTAACCACTCGCTGAATTTACCAACAACTACACAATCACTCCCACTAGATTAGTTTTTTAAGCTTGCTTGTTTTACAATCAACTCAAACAATTAACACAACAACTCCATTAGCATAAGTAGACTGATTCTTTCTTGTTTAGTTTCTCTAATTTCCTTACTTGGTTTGAATACAAAATAGGCAATACGCAACAAAAGTAATATGTAATGCCCTTGTCTATGAACCTGAAGACTAGAAATTTGTCAGCACCCCTGCATCAATGGTCCAAACCCAAGGTCAGAAGAACTTAAGCTAAATAGACTGCATTGTATCCATGTTTCATCTACCAGTACATTTTTCTCAAGAAATATATCAAAATGGTCAGATTCATCTACCAACGCGACCTCGGAGAAAGCCTCCAAATCAGGATATTAAAGCCTTTGAAACAAAAGAGGGACGAAGCTGTGTACGTGATGAAACGTGATCTTTTTGTCAGTTACCAATGTTATTAATCGACGTGTGCATGTTAATTAATGTTGATGTTTTGTTACTGAACTAATCAAAGAATGTAAAATTGCAATCACTCAACAATAATATTTATATTAGTCACCAACAATGTAGAAAGTTGGAAACATATTCAAATCTATGAACTAAAACATACTTTATTATACATAAAACTTGATTCATCACACTCTTGTTTTTTTATTCATGAAATACAACAAATTATTTATGATATTATACACACCAATTTATTTAACTGAACAACATTAATTCTTTAAGGAAGGGAGTGTGATCGATGAGTGACTTAACGAGATCTGGTGCTCTGTTGCTTGCTTCGGCCAAAAGTCTTCACGAACCACTGATGCTTGTATGAAGCCACTATGTATCCCATAGTCAGTCCAAGTACAACTCCAGGTGCAAAGCCTAAACCTGCTGCTATCCAACTCAACGATTCTTCTTTTTCTTCTTCTTTTGTCTCCACCAGTTCGGGTTGTGGTGGTGTTGACGCTTTGATATCTCCACAAACATCCTTAAGGGAAGGGCCATTAAGTCCGGGGTTTCCTTCATAGGAGGAGCATTGCTGTCGTTGAAACTGTGTGCCTTGTGGTATGGAACCTACAAGCTGGTTATGTGAAACGTTTATCCACGCGAGAGAAGATAGGGTCCCAAGCTCAGGAGGAATCTCACCATAAATCTTGTTTTGGGATAGGTCTAGTGACTCGAGATTCGTCAGATTTGCCAAAGAAGATGGGATATGGCCTGTGAAAGCATTACTAGACATGTTGAGATTAAGAAGCTCCTTCAACAGACCAATGGAATCAGGAATCTGTCCATGAAGTTGATTTTCTGAAAAATCTATGGACGTGTAGATTTTAGGGATAAGTTCCATCTCCATTGACACTCCTTTACTCATCAAGTCAAGTGAGCTGTAGTAGATATATAAATTGGTAATGTACTCATGTTCCATATTACTATATCTCTTGGAAGACATTGCAGTCCAGTTCAAGAAGTAATCAGAGGGCAAGGTGCCGAAGAAGTCATTAAATATGCGATACATCAATGATTTTCAACTGAGGAAATCCAACGTAAAACCCATCATCGTTATGTAACTTGCCATGAAACTTGTTAGAGCGGAGGACAAGAACTTGAAGCTTCTGTAAAGAATTCAACTGGAAGGGAAATATGTCGTCGATTCCGTTGCTTCCCACATTTAAAAATTCAAGAGCAGAGCAACCAATAAGAGAAGAAGGAAGCTTCCCCTCCATTCGGTTGTGACTCACGTCAAGTGACCCTAATTTCTTGGCGTTCATAAATATATCAGGTAAACTTCCGCTGAGGCTATTGTTACGGAGATTTAGAGCTGTAAGAGAACCCATTTGAGTCTCTAAACACCAAGGAATTGAGCCGTGGAGGTTGTTGTCTGATAGATCTAGGACGTATAGAGATCTTCCACATATTGATTGAGGTATCTCTCCTGTGAAGTTATTCTTCGAACCATCAAAGAATAAGAGAAACATGGATGGTATGAAGAGTGGTCCTTGGAAAGCATTTGAGCGTAAATCTACATTCAAGACTTTACTTTCAAGAGAAACTTTTAAGGATCCATTAAAACCGCTGAGCGAGTTCCTCGAAAGATCCACAGCTAACAACTCTGGCAGTCTCCACAACCAGTTTGGTACTTGACCTTTGATTTTGTTGTTGGAAAAAGCTAGACTATGTAGACTTCTCCCGTTTCTTATGAAATATGGGAACTCAGTGAGGTTGCAGTCTAGCAAGCGCAACTCAAACAAATGTGATGGAAAATCCGAATGAGAAGTAATGTTTGCTGTTGAAATAGGGATGCCTGAAATATATAATCTCTTTAGCTTCCTAAGAGACGAGAAGACATTTAAGTCAACTAGACCGACTTTGTTGTAATTGTTGTGGTGAATAGAAAAAGATTGTAAATTAGGTAACATAGAGATATTCTCTATCCCAAGGAGGTTGTTGTGATGGTTACAATCCAGAGAGATGTCCGTCAATGAGGGAATCTTAAGTAGGGATGAAAGAATGGCTCCCGTAAAAGAATCCTCACAAAAAGACTCTAATTTGGAGAGTTGGCTAATGTTAGGTGGAAGGGAACTTGTGAATGTTGGGGTCGGATTCCATCCACCTTCTGAAACCGAGCCAAACTTCAAACATCCTGAACCTGTTAACGAGCTCGGGGTACCCTGCCAGACAACTCGGGGCACCCTGCCAGACAGCTCGGGGTACCCTGCCAGACAGCTCGGGGTACCCTGCCAGACAGCTCGGTTGTCCGAGCCCACTCTTCTCCGGGTACCCGAGCCCACTCTTCTCCGGGTACCCGAGCCCACTCTTCTCCGGGTACCCGAGCCCACTCCTCTCTGGGTACCCGAGCCCATTCTTCTTCGGGTATCCGAGCCTGTCCTCGCGAAGAAGCCTCCTAGCTACTCGAGGCGAAGTCGTCAGTCACCCGAGGCGGTCTTTAGGCCACTTGAACCAAGCAACCCGAGGCAAGGACTTAGTGAATATTCACCCTCGGAGTATCATTTCCAAGCAAGGCATCATTTCCGATATACCCGGAAATGATAAGAGAGAATCTAGAAAGATCGACCCAAATCAGGAAATCTTCCAAAGACTCCGAAGAATAAGGAAATTATCCTGATCCGCGATATTCTAGCCGACTTCAAGATAAATGGAAATCTTCCGAGAATATCGCTGGAGAGGCGGTTTATGATCGCTATATAAGGAGATTCAAGGTTCTCATAGAAGGGGAGGCAATATCGCTCTAGAATTTACACTACACAAAGCTCTTATAGCACAAACACCTTTTTCCTTTTACGATCAAACTCTTGTACGATCAAATCTGCTCTTTTCATTAATAATATCAAGAACACCATCTTTGGTATCAATTGATTCTGCCGTTCTTTGAGAATTCACGCAAATCGTATCCCTAAATTAAAACCCTAGACAAATCTCGATTGTGTTAGTTTCGACTTCCACAGTGAACTGATTGGAACAGAGACTGAGAGAACGTAGTTCGATCAATTTGATTAGTGTAGCTGGCAAATTTCCACCGAGCTTGTTAACACTAACATCAAAATCGGTCAACTGATTTAGATTGCCAATTGAAGATGGGATTTCGCCAACCAAATTGTTGTAAGAAAGATCGAGATGGGAGAGATTAGAAAGGTTCCCAAGTACAAATGGAATATTCCCTAAGAACTTAGAAAAGGAAAGAGTCAAAGAAGTCAAATGTTTGAGGTTGAAAAAGATGTGTTGTGAATGCTCAACTCTAGCATAGAGTTATTTTCACGGAATAGGGGAAGATTGCCTCTCAGATTTGAATTTCCATCCAACATAATGGACTGTAAACTGGGTATTAGAAAAACACTGCTTGGAAATTCTCCAAACAGGTTGCAATTAGCAAGATTTAGCAAACTTAGAGAACACATGTTTGAAAAGTCGTGGGGGATTTCTGAAGAAATGTTTACGGAACTCATATCCAGCTCTTTAAGGTTTCTCAAGTTTCGAGCAAGTAGAGGAAGAAAAGATTCATCAATGGACAGCGGCATCGAAAAACAAGGAAAAGAAAAAAAAGAACAAGAATAAGAAAGATCGAGAGACACCAACTTGGTTAGCTGAAGAAGGTTGGTTGGAATTTGGCCTGAAAGAAAAGAATGAGAGAGGTTAAGTCTTTCTAGCCCTATGAGTTTATCAAAATCGGCCGGTATTGGTGAATTGTTGAAATAGTTGTTTGCAAGGTTTAGATCACGGAGATGAAGCAGTTTAAAAAGACTACTATTGGATTTTAGCTGGCCATAGAGGAAGACGGAACTAAGGTCTAGCCCGATCACTTTTCCAGACTTACACGTGATACCATCCCAAGAACAACAATCACTTTTGTTCACCCATGATTCTAAATCAACCATCGCAAACTCATTCTTGAACTCAAGAAGAGCATCCTTTTGGTCGGAATGACACAAGTGTTGTGTAGCAGAAACAAACGTGATTACGAAAATTGGAATAAGGAAAAGGAAACAGATGGAACGAAGAGGGAAGCTCATTTTCTGATTTGATAAGAAGGCTTTCATATTTGTGAAAGAAAAAAAGTATTCGAGTAGTGATGGTAAGTTAGCTTTACGGGTCAATACATATATATATATATATATATATAGAAAACATAAAGTTCCATCGACTTTGATGATTTGAAGTCTTTTGATGAAAAGTCTTCCCTACTAAACATCTTATGAGTCCTTCCAGTGGACTTGACTCGAAATATTATAAAATGCAATTTGAGACTACTACATTCGTTCTCGGCATCAAAAGGATGGCAATTGGCCCACACATCGGTGGTCTAGTGGTAAGAGAAAATTGGGGAAAGGTTGGAAGGAACTAATCCAAGTTCGATCCACCTTGGAAACAAAAATCACATGTGTGGGAAGTCTGGGTTTGGGCCAAACAGTTTACCTGGTAATCAGTAACAGGCGATCTGGCTACCCCCTAGCATTAGTCGGAAAACATTCCAAACCCGGGACAGACAGTGTGGTGGCCCTTCGGGGAGAAGTCCACTCTGAAGCACTTCAGTGCGTTTCTACCGGGCTAACTGGATCAGCCGATAGGGTTTATAAAAAAAAAAAAAGGATGGAATTGTGTTTAGAATTTTAGAAAAGTCATTCTCAATGAGCAAAAGAAAATTTGAGTTTATTGAGGACAAGTAGAATAATTAGAGGTGTCAAAATGGGTCAAGATTCATGGGTCAACTCAACTCAACTCAATCCATGAACCCTAATGAGTTAAAAATTTTGACTCAAATGAGTCCCATTCTCTCTTTTTTTTTTCGTTATCTCGCATGTGGTCCTAAGAAAAGGGAATTTGTCAATTTTTCGGGGTCACTGGTGGTGGACTTCTCGAAGCAGGACGTTAAGATCTAGCTCATTTCTCCTCGATTACCTATGCCGGGCTAGGAACGATCTAAAGATTGCAGGAATGAAAACGTTTAAACAGCTTCCTGACTTCCTCTCAACAAGAAGTTAAGGCTGAAAGTCCTAATCTTCTTATCCCGATGCCTGGAGTAGCGGGTCTTAGTTCGGATTAGTACCTTTTGAGCAAGGTAAGTTTCGGCAGTGAAAGAAAGTAACCAGGATCCGCTTAACCAGTTATGGATGAAGGTAGGTCTACTCCAATCCCTCAGCCAATAAACAATAAAGTAGGCACATTTCCCTCGGCAAAGAAAGTAGTCCCTCGCTAAAGAGTAGACTTGAGTATCTTCGAAGTAAAAGCCGAGGAATAAGACTCAGTTCGGGTAGAGCAACCATTTCTATTTTCATTCTTCCCCGTTTACATAAATGAAAAAGAAAAGTGAATTCCCACGGAAAATATCCACCTAAAAAAATTTCTGGGGTTACTTGGCATAGTCCTCTAAAGACCTATTTAGATACTCTTTCTTCCGAGTTCGAGATAAGGAGGAAGAATGGGGCGACAAATAAAATGAAATAAAGAGCAAAAATGCTTGACTTTCATTTTATTAAATATAATGGTAGGTAGGGCTTTTAAGTTCTTCTTGCCCCAGTTTCACTATCTCTTTCACTTCTTCGATTCCCCTTGAAGTAGGGGGTTTGCTGAGCTGATCGAGTCCCATTTTCTGGCTGCAAGGCCCGGCCCGAGTAGTCAATGGTTGCTACCGCTCACTGCGCTTCTCTGTACCATTTCATTTCTAGTAAAAATGGATGCTGGGCATATCTACTGACCCGACAAGCTGACGTAATTCTATCCATCCGTAGCTGTCTGTGCCGCTACCTCTATCCAGTCGATTGGCCGCTACCTCTATCCAGTCCGAAAAGTCTTTGTTTTCGTTTCTTATTATCTGACTCCCGTTTGTTTGTTTAACTCAACACCAGCACCTGGAGGAACCCCTTACTTGTCTGGAAGTATAAGAAGGTTGGTAGCTTTGTTAGGACTTAGTTATAGCCATTTCTGTACATTCAATGTACTCTACGGATAGAGGAATACAGAGAGTTGAACATAGTAAAATAAGAAATTGAAAGATTTCTTGGAGGACTTTGGGGTCGGCCGGCCTCTGTACTAAATCATATTTCGGATTACGGGGAACTCCCTCTCTCCTAATTGCCATGATTCCGCTGCACGACACACATAGAGGAATAACCATTTTAGAACAATCATTTTCAAAGCAAAAGAAAGGGCCTGCTGATAGAGCTGGGCGGGGAGGCGATACTAGTTATCAGGTCAGAGAGAGGCCTGGCCCGTAAGCAGGCCCCCTTAAAAACCCATTACTTAATAAGGATTTGTTACGCGCGATATGCCGACGACTTACTACTGGGAATCGAAGGTTCTGTTAGTGAGCAATAGCTAGGTGAAAGCGGTTTACTCGTGTACTAGCACTAGCGCGTACTTTGCTCTGTGTTAGGTCAGGGAAGAGAATTGCATATCCCATAGCCGATCGAGGCCGCCCATTCACAAGCAAGAGTAGTCCTATCTGCCCATTCACGGAGTAGTCCTATCCTTCGATCTTTGATTGCTGAAGCCAAAGGGAAGCTACCAGATATGGCATAGCGCTTAAGGAAGCATCTCGAATCGGGCGTGAAAAAGATCCATCTTTGATTTATTTCACACAATTTCGCAATGTCAACATGCGGGGAGACCCGCACGTACGGTTTTTAGGGGGATCTGGCCGAAAGACCGGCCGGCGCCCACCCGACTAGAGGGACTGAGAAATTAATAGAGTACGGGGGAATTATGGAGGGATTCCTTAATTTCCCCCCAATAGTGGCCCTTTTCCTTACCAAGCAGGAAAGGAGTATTTTTGGCTTCAAGGATTAGAATTCTATTTTTCATAGAAGATTCTAATCCCAGATCTGGGCTTACAGGCCAGGGTTCCGAAAGGACTCTAAGCGCAAAACAGATACGTAGGCAAACTTGAAAAGAGCCTCAGTCGGCAAATCCCTGGCCCTTTTCTTTCTTTTTTCTCTTTCTGGTCACAGTGCAGTTGAGCTATACGGGCTTTCTTGCTTTGATGTAAGCGAATGCGACCGCGGCGGATAGGGCCACGAATCGCCCAACGACTTTCGCCTCTTTCGCCGTCAAAGTGCCTATGGTACCAGTTCATATTTGGTTACCTGAAGCTCATGTAGAGGCACCTACGGCAGTGGCAAGAATCCGACCAACAGACTAATCTGGGTATTCCCAAAGATGCTTGACCAGTCGAAGAGGAGGGGCTTCTCTTCTATTAACAAACAAGGTCTGCAAGCCTGTAAGCCCACCTTTACATTCTAATGCTTGTCTTAGTTACGAAGACGTGAACCTTTAATTTGCAAGAGTAGTTTCATCGGCGGAAGGGAGGGAAGAAATGTCACGTACGGCACTTCCTAGCCAGCTCCTAACA